TTAGGCATATTATACAGGACTTTGTAGAGAGAATGGGGTAAATGCTAAGATATAGGAGAGCTAAAATCTAAAGGTATAGAGTTTTAGAAATTAGGGAATTTGCACTAAAACCTTATATTTGTTTGTATTTTGTGAGGATAATCATTTTGATACATCCTTTCCATGTCCAGGCATATCACTAAGGGAGGATTTGGCAAGCATGGTACCTGGTCAAAAGCAAAAAGTTTGAAAGATTTCTAAGAGAATCTTAAAAGAGGAGCACTAGCCTTGGCTGGTTTGTCTCAAGTGGATGGAGCATCGGCCTGTGGACTGAAGGGTCCTGTGTTTCATTCCGGTCAAGGGCACATGCCTGGGTTGTGGCCCCGGTCCCCAGTTGGGGGTGAGCGGGAGGCAGCCGTCAGTGATTCTCTCTCATTATATGATGTTTCTTTTTTTTTTTTTTAATATATTTCTTTATTTTTTTTTACAGAGAGGAAGGGAGAGGGATAGAGATTTAGAAACATCAATGATGAGAGAGAAACATTGATCAGCTGCCTCCTGCACACCTCCTACTGGGGACTGTGCCCGCAACCCAGGTACATGCCCTTGACTGGAATTGAACCTGGGACCCTTTGGTCTCTCTCATCACTGATGTTTCTATCTCTCCTTCCCTCTCCCTTCCTCTCTGAAATCAATAAAAATATATAATACATATATTAACTGGATATTCAAATGACAGCTAGATTGGCCACCACTGCGTGATCTGATTGAATCATCTCATTTCCTCCATGGTTTTCTCCTTATTGTCCTGGTAATGGGTGGCCAAACAGGTATTTGCCCTCCTCCTACTTACCTATTATCATAAATCTGTCCTGGTCTCCTTTCTTTTTTTAAATAATTCTTTATTGTTAAAAGTATTACATATGTTCCCTTTTTACTCTCATTGACCCCCTCCAGCCCGCACCCGTCCCCCACCCCAGGCCTTCACTACCCTATATCCTGGTTATCCTGGTCTTTCTGAGAAGGTTCTGACTTTCAAAAGATTTATATTTGGGAATTGTAGGCAGCCATGCTTTCTGCCTTCCAGTCTGCCTTCCAAAGTTCAGGACCGACCGTGTGTGTGGGGGCGGTGGGGAACTGGACCCGTATCCTTCCAATCATGTGGATTTCTGATTATAATCCTTACTTTAAAGGCCCATCAGGAACCTTGTTTATTTTGTATAACCACTTCCTTTGGTTGTTCAAACACTCCCAATAAGTCTATTTCAGGGCCATGCTTTCCAGGAGGCCTCTTTTTCTCAGAAAGGCCATACCCAGCAACTCTTCTTGCCCATTTATTTGGGATAATTATCAGACTGCATGCTAGATGCTTTGAGGAATCCAGAAATGAATCAGGTCCTAGCCACAAGGAGCTTGTAAACCAGAAAAGGAAATAAGACATACACATAAATAATGATCATACAAGCTAATGTGGTGAGGGCAGAAAGAGATTAATGATCAAGGGCTCTAGGCTCATAAGAAGGAGTAATCACTTCCAGAGCAGGTATTTAGAGAGACTTGTGGAGAGGTGGCAATTGAGTTGAACATTGGAGCAATAGCCTTTGCATGATGGACTCTGATTCTTCCCTTTCTAGCTTTGAAAAGGAAACTGTTTTTGTGGGTTTAGGCATATTATAAAGGACTTTAAATAAATTTAAAGTTTTTAAAAACATAAATTAATAGGTATTGGGAGTTGAGATTGCATCTAGCAACAACCATTCAATATTTCCTCTGATCCTGAAGTCTTTACTAAATAGTTAGGGAGTCTATTCAAGTACCTATGAAGTAATCAATGGACATGAATTATAGGTCTACAGTGATAAATTTACAATCAATAATGAATTAAATCTGGAAAATTCTATACTGCATTTTTCATCAGAATGATCTAAGTTAATGTGGCTTGGTCTTAGGGCAGTTTTGTCCTTGTCAACTATATATAAGTAGTTTTATCCCATCATAGAGATAGCAATTTAAAAATGGGATCAAAAGGGTCGTGGAATATAAATCTCTTTCTTACTTTAAAATACATACTTTTTCTCAAAAATCCTAAAAGATGAACCTAGCATATTTTCCATGGGCTGTAGATGTTATAAATATACTAATTGCAACAAAATCCGGTTTTTTGCAATTAATATGTTAATTATAAAGATAAGTGATAAGATTAAGCCTGCTTTATATTTTTTAACTTTTTGGAACAAAAGCTGTTTGTGCTTATGATTAAGTTTTGTTATTTTAATGTTAAGTTTTACCTTGGTCAGAAAATATTAAAAACCTCAATTTGTTTTCATAAAATCTTTTGCTTGAGATTTGATCTGTTTTTTAAAGGCCCATGTAAAAACTGGACCTGCTTTAAGGAAAGCCTTTGGAATCAAAGTACTCACGTTTTCTAGGAATTTACAGTAACAATTTGTGTTCTTCCAATAGGTATTAAAAGAAGTAACTACCAATCATTTCTGTGCAAAAATGCTAGAAAATATGCCCCAAACTTTTTTGTCTTTTTCTTCAGAATAGGATCTTCTGTTTCTAATGAGGAGAGTATCTTTAAAGTCAGGAATTTATAAAAAGAGGTTCTTGGATAGAAAATTCATAAAAGCTGTAATTCTAAATCCAAAGCTCAATTGGAACTTGGCAAATTCAACTTAATGTATAGAATAGAATTCTCCAAAGCTGAACAGAATGCCTTACCAGTAAGCTAGGTTCCCAGAACTGGAGAGGGATAAGCTCATAGTTAAACTAAATCAGGGTGGGATTGAGTGGGCTGGGCAGAGGTTGAAGTAGAGCTGTGAGCATTTTTAGAGGGGTGGGCCTGGGTGGTTCTTAATGTCTTTTTCAGTCCTAACCTTCTATGATACACAAAATATAAAGGACATTTTTATTGATGTATTTTGTGTTTAATTCAGATGGGCTTCTCAAGTTAAAAACGTAACTTTTAACTCATTTTTGAGTTTCAGAAATATTTAACTTCTATTTTGTACATAATCCCCACTTCAACAGTGTGAGGCTCTGAACCAGCCAACGAGGACATTCGCGATCTATTGCCTACCCATATGTTTGTGAATTGATTGCGCCAAGACATCCTTAGTAGGGGTAATGCAGAATTTAACATCAAGACTGTGCACAGGTGGTTTTAAAAGTGTTTCTTGAATTATTCACCTTTGTAACAATTGTTACAAAGAGATCAGAGGACATCACAAAGTTGTCACCAATTTTCTAAATCTCACAGACCTTTACACTCAAACTAAACCTATTCATCATTAGCAAGAATACAAGATATCACACTGGCAATTGTGACTGTAGTAGTTTGCATGGCAGATTTTGCTAAGATCAGGCCTGCCCATAGATCCATACAATAAAAGGTTAGATTCTTATTTTAAAATTTTAAGGAATTATTTTCATTTCCAGAAAGATTTTTTTTATTTGCCCCATTTTAAAAGGTTAGCAAGTCTCTCTTTTTTCATTGTCATAAGTATCTCGTAAGACTCTATTAATAACAATAAATAATTAAACTTCTCTAGGTTATCTTGATATCTTTGTTCTCAGTACACCTAAGAGAATAAAGTAATACGTTATTCGCATATGGTGATAAGTGAAAATGTAATGGAAGCTGAGTTGAGGACCTTAGTTGGTTATTTAGGACTCAGGATTTTATCTAGTCATTTCCAACTGATTCAACACTCTCCACTTAATTCCCTCCAGAAACTCTAAGATCATATTGTTTCCTAGTACTTAGAGTTCCTGTTGATGTATAGAGCTTCTTATGTAGGCCTCCAGCACTAGAAATTGGCTCCAAGCCATTTCCCATTACATCATCACCCACTAATGTCATTACATTGGAGTGAAATCTACTTTGAAGATTGTACTCTTGTTTTCCTTCCATTTCTTTCCTTTTATCATTTTCTTTAGAAGGAAAAAGAAAAAATCAGAGACCTCTAGAACATTTCAAACATTTGAATGAATCAAACGTCCTCACAGACTAAACCTAGATTTAGCAGCCTTCATTCCACTCTGCTGATGGAATGATCTGCCCAGCGTGTATCCACATGGACCCTGGAAAGTAACATGTTTGGTGCTCTTCTTTCAGCCCTTCAGAATTAGTTCTTAGTGACTTATACACTGAGTAGCCAGATTATTATGACCACACCATCAGTACAATTAAGTGAATTAGTTATACAAATAATAATAATAATTTTTAAAAAAACCTTGAGAGTATTTGTTTAGGAAGTTTTCAATATTCAGTATTTTTGGAAGCGTCAATGAAGCACTGATGGGGTGGTCATAATAATCTGGCCGGTCCTAATAATCTAGCCACTCAGTGTATAGTTCTCCACCAGCATCCTGTCACTGGCATTATTAAACCTTTTCAAATAATTTCCCAGAATAGAAATTCTTAGGACATCACTAAGTTTCTAGTTCTTTGTGTTTGATTAAACTGTTTTTTGCATTTAAGTATTTGCTGGGTAAGCATTTAAGAAATCTGGAGTTTTTAACTTTCCCCCTGGAATCTTTTAAGGCATTACAATATTATCTACAGTTATAGCTGAAGTGGGGATCCTAACTGATCTTCTTTTGAACCCATCAAAAAGCAGTTGACTGAACGTAGGTTCTGACCCTCTTCTTTCTATTCTAAATTTAATTCCCCATTGTTGCAAAGTTAAATGAGTCCAGCCTGCATGGCTCAGTGATTGAGTATTGACCTAGGAAACAGGAGGTCAAGGTTCGATTCCCGGTCAGGGCACATGCCCAGGTTGTGGGCACCATCCCCAATGCGGGGCATGCAGGAGACAGCCAATTGGTGATTCTCATCATTGATGTTTCTATCTCTTTTCCTCTCCCTTCCTCCCTGAAATCAATAAAAATATATTTAGAAAAAGAAAAGTTAAATGAAGTAGTGTAAACATCCACAAGGAAAGATATAAATAACGGACAGAAAGTCTGACTTTATTATTATTTTTAATGTGTCTCATGTATGTATTTGTTTTCAGTTGTCAAAATGTCCACAGAAGGAGGATTTGGTGGTACCAGCAGCAGTGATGCCCAGCAAAATCTACAGTCCTTCTGGCCTCGTGTCATGGAAGAAATACGGAATTTAACAGTGGTAAGAAAGGAGAAACTTTTAAAGAGTCTAAAGAGTCATGAGATGAATAACCAAAACATAGACTAAAACGTGTAATCTCAAGCACATTTACAAAGGCATAATTTGTTCCTGATCTCTGTGTTCACATGTGGTTTTCCACAGAAAAGTCACTCTTTCTCTTCTGCAGTCTAAAGGTGATGCTTTTATCTAAACTGTCTTAGATATAAAAGAGAAGGGAGGAAAAATAAAATTATAAAATTATTACTGGGGTCTATTCATATTTTAAAGGGATAATCTAATCTCATGATTAAGTTTATCAGGTTTTAGTCCTGGGGTCCGCCTGGTATAAAACTAGTGCCCTTCTAGAGTGTGGTCGGAGTAGGCCAGTATAGCAAGTCTACTTTCCAGCTGAGCACAACCAGAAATCCAAAATCAGGCAGGTGGCCAGAGAAACTCTGGAGGTTCAAACTCAGCACTTAACTTTTCTGTATTTTTTTGGGCTTTGATTTTTTTTTAAATTGTGGAAAAAAACACAGACAAAATTTACCATCTTAACCTCTTAAAAATGTACAGCTCAGTAGTGTTAAATATATATTTACATTGCTGTGGATCATCTCTCCAGGACTTTTTCATCTTGCAGAACTGAAAGTCTATACCCATTAAACAACAACTACCCTTTCCTCCTCTCCCCAGCCCCTGGTAACCACCATTCTGCTTTCTGTTTCTATGAATTTCACCAGTCTTAAATGCCTCATATACATGGGATCATACAATATTTGTCTTGTTATGATGGCTTATTTCAGTTAGCATAATGTTCTCATGATTCATACATGTTCTAGCATGTAATTGGATTTCTTTCCTTCTTAAGTCCAAATAATATTCCATATATATGTGTATTCGCTACATTTTATTTATCCATTTATCGGCCTTTATGGCACATAAAGGTATCTGCTTCTCCGACTGCATCTCTGCCTGTGTAACGTTGTCAGATATTTTAGCATTTAGTCTGTGCCGATCCAGAACTCACTAGCACTTATAACCAGACTTCCTCAGATATGTCAGAGCCTCTTAGGTTGACATCTCAACATGTCTAACAGATTTTTTAAATAGCCATATGTTCCGACTATCCAAACATAAATAAAACTTATGTGAGTATTCACAAGCTGTCGGTGGTCTCTAAGACTGGGACAAAGATTATTCTAAAACAACGAATTGAAATTTGCTAGGTGATATATATTACATGATATATTAGAAATGCTGGCCCCAGTCAATTTGGTCTGAGTTCTGCAAAAACAATTTATCTTTCCTCTCAGGGTGGCTATCATGCTCTCTTTACTCCGAATTGTGCATAAATCCAGGTAGTGTTCAGCTGGAACTGAAGTTGGTCAAAAATCATACCTAAATGATTGCACACCAGAATAATTGTGAAAATACCATCTTTCTGCTCGACAGAGCTCTGGAAATAATAATTCACAGACTTTTTGGCATTGGATTTTATTCCTCTAGACCTCTTTGAAAGTGGACAAGAGAAAGCTAAGTTTGTCTTTTGGGGAGTAGATGGGGAGGCAACAACGCTGAATCTTGAAAAAGAAAAATCTAATTCTCCCCTAACTTACTCTGTACGATTCAGCCTCCAATTAGCCGTAATGTAATGCTGAGGTCACTTTCTTTTATTTACCAGTTACATCTTTTCATTCTTCAGTGCCTCCAGATTAGACAGTGGTATTTTTAATATTATAGTCAAATCAGATAACCATTTAAAGAAAAACTTGGAGGTATGAGGTTTATGGATTATTACAAAACAGGTCCTGTGTTGTTTGAGCCCTTCTTGTAGAGCAGTGTTTCTCAGACTTGATTGTCTAATGAACCACATGAGGATCTTGTTAAAATACAGATTTTGATATAGTAGGTTTGGAGCAGAGCCGGAGATTCTGCGTTTCTTCTGAGTTCCCAGGCGAAGCCATTGCTGACTTTGAGTAGTAAGACTTTAAAAGCAGCAGTGGCCATTAACACTGACTGTGGATCCCCAGTCACCAGGGGCGTTTTCAAAAATCGTGATGCCAGAAATTCCGGATTCAGTTAGTCTGAGACAGAATCCAGGCATCTTGTTTTTCAAAAGCTCTCCAGGTGATTCTAACATGCAGCCAAGATTGAGAATCATTGCTTTTGAGAGGATTCAGTCCTTTCTTGCTGGAGTATGTGGCTGGATAGGCCTGGAAAAGATTTCTCATCATTATTTGAAACTCTGGATTTTCTTTAGTGCAACCTGAGACCCATTGGCTTTTCTTTGGCTCTGAACTCTCATTGAATGAATTCAGACTACTTGAAACTCAGCAGTTTCAGATGGCATTATTTTTAATGGAGTTCTTTTGTTGTGATCAAGAGCACAGAAATGTTCTGAGAGAGAATCTGCTTTTCCATTTGCTGATAACACTACCAAGAGTAGAGTCAGTCTGTCTCAGTTGTCTTTCACTTGGATCAGCATCAGGAGAAGTTAGCACATGAGTTGCATGGTTGCCAATGATGAGGGAACATTGAATTGAAAGCCAATTTAGTGGACATCAGTCTACTGATAATTAAGGGCTCCCCTCTCCAATAAGGTTATCGTAAACTCTTAGATGTGACTGGAAAGCTAGGATGAGATTATAGAAAACTGGACTATTGTCAGTAATAATGAACCACATACACACATATATCTTTCTTTTTTCCAAATGTTTTATTATTATTGATTTCAGAGAAGAAGGGAGAGGGAGAGAGAGATAGAAACATCAATGATGAGAATCATTGATTGGCTGCTTCCTGCACGCCCCCCTACTGGGGATTAAGCCGGCAACCCCAGCATGTACCCTTGACTGGAATCGAACCCAAGACCCTTCAGTCCGCATGTGATGCTCTATCCACTGAGCCAAACCAGCTGGGGCACATACACACTATATCTGAAGATCCACTTTTTACACACTGTCCCTTTAGAGCTCAAGGTTTGGGGATTATGAGAAAGTGTCTTGCAAAAGAAAAGGTTGGAGTGGGCTTAGAGCAGAGCTTTTTGTAAATTTCTGCCTCACTTTATACTTCTCCAAGGTAGGAATTATATAATCTCTTTATCTTTGACCCTTTCTTGTTGCTTTTGATTAAAGACCAGTCTTATAGAAATTTTGAAAGTGGTGTTTTACTCTTTCAAGTTGGTGAAGAAGGTCTTTTTTTTTATCAGTTTTGGGTTTTGATTAAGTAATCTTGGAACAAACTTGTGGAAATTATATTCACTAACCAAGTCAAGTAAGAGTGCACTTGCAAGAGAGCTGAATCTTATGGTCTTAATCTTGTGTTGTATATGTCATCCTGGGAGGCCTTTCAAAGGAATTATCATCCCCAGCATTGTCTTTGGGATTTCTGTTTAGCATCATCATATTTTGTGATATGCCACACATGAAGAAAGACCAGCGATTGATTTCTGTGGTAAATGTTTTGTTTTTTAAGTCCCTTTAGGGTCTGGCCTCAATCCAGCATTCTCTTTCGTGTTGCTCCCCTCTGTACTAAGGTCATATATCTAAAACTTGAATAGGCCCTGTTTTGTGTGTCTCTGTGCTTCTGTGCATGCTGCTCCCTCTGCCTGAATATGAATTCTCTATTTTTCCAACAAGCAAATTTGTAGCATCCCTTATACACAATTCAGATGTCAGCCTCTCTGTGGAACATTTGCCAACTCCTCTTGCTCACTCCAACCCCCCATTGCCAGCTGGTATTTTCTTCTTTGTTTCTGTGGGATTTTACACCCCCATTCTAATATGATATATGGTATTTTAATGTTTTTATGTGACCGTCTCTAACAATTAAACTATAAGCTGTTCAAAGGTAAGTATAGATTTGCATCTTTCACACAGTAGCACATATCATATTAGTTGAGTTACATGAATGAGTAAATGAAAGAGGAGAAAACAAATAAGAATAGAAAGAATGTGTCCTGCTCTCTCCTTTTGGTAAAAATTTAATAAACTGGAGTTCTAAACATCTGCCACTCCAGGGTTAGTTTTAGTAGAGGCTTCATGGAAAATATTGACACCTACTTTGGAAAATGAAATGATGAAAAATTGGTGTTGGAAGTTTGTAGAGGTGAGTGGTAGCCAGTAGCCAAGCAGCTTGTTGAGTTTGTGGGGAAATTAGATGTCTTGGCGTGCATTTTATCCTAATTGTTGTTCTTCCCTTCTGTAATCATAAAATGGGTTCTGGGAAGGCTGTTTATGTTTTTCACTAGTACCCCCTTCTTTAACATTCAGTTGAGGTTTGCTGTTGGTCTTGGAAAAGAAAGTTTACTTTTTTGTTGTTGTTAATTATACCAAATCTCAAATAGTAGCTGCTCTTTCTATAATGTGATGATGCAAAGTCCCATGTGAACATACTGGATTTGGTGTGAGTCACATTTCAGAACACTTACAGAATCAATCATTTGACACCTAGTCTCAGCAGGGATTTTGCTGATTTTAGCTAATCTCTGCCTTTGCACCTTTTTCTTCATTGCAGCTCTGAAACCCAGAATTGATTTTTAATTCTAGAATTGCATTCATCATTGAGCATGCTTTGAAATACCAGTAGTATCAAAATAAAAAAGGGCTTAATCACAAATACTTGAGTAGTGCTGATCAAAAAGCTCTTTCCTAAATCCTATCCACAGTAAAGTTGATGTGGTTTTCCCCAGCCCAGTCTTGTTTTTTAAGAAAAAAAGTGCCAGGGCTATTCCAAAGAGCCAGCTGATAAATTTACCCTTACCCCTCTTCCATAATCTTCTAACCCACCCCCATCCCCCTAAGCTAATTTTGGAAACAAGCCCTTAGGGAGTTCCTCCCTAATTTCTGGTGTCAGGTTAGAGCGAAGGTCAGAAGAAGAGAACTGTGGGTCACTGTGGTCAGGTTATGCTGGCACTTGCAATCCCCAAGTAGAAGAAAAAACTGGCAACTTAGAGGAATGAATTTTTGCTCCTGAGGCAAAAATCACATTTGAATCTGCTAAAAGCCATCATAAGTTTATCCTGAAACCCTTTAATTGTTTAAAGCTCTACATGGGTTAAGAATTTTGCTAGGAGCTTGTATTTTCTTCATTTTATGTGTACCTTCTGTCCTGCCATATTTTCTAAAAGGAGGGACTAAGCCAATCAGTGTGCTTCCTGATGCCTGTTTTGCCCTACTGATTGACCCCACCATTTATGCACCTTTTGTTACTCATTTCAGAAAGATTTCCGAGTACAGGAACTGCCATTGGCTCGTATTAAGAAGATTATGAAACTGGATGAAGATGTGAAGGTGAATTTACGTTCATTTTTATTTATATTGAAGCTAAAATGATGGGTGGGTTATTGCTCATTTCTCTAGAGCTCAAATTTAATTAAATAAAAATGAAAATATTGCCTGTTGCTTTTTTAGTTAGTTTCTCGTAAATTTGCTAAGTGAGATGAAATTGAACAATTTTAATTATTATATGATGATTCTCTGAAAATTAGGGGTTTCCTGTTTTCTAGATGTTGAAAAGATACTGGGTGCTTTTTGAAACATCCAGTTCTTTTCAGCATGTAGTGTAAACATGTACCATCAAATCATCAGGATAGTGCCATCTTCTTAGCATCTTATTACAGTCTTTATTTGTTGATCTGAGCTCTAAAAAATGTTTGATAATGCTATTGTATCTATGAGTATTGCATCTGTGAATTGTTTTACACGAATAATACTTGTGAGAGGGTTTACTTGGAGGAGACCATTACTGTATTCTTAGGAGTTTGCCACCCACAACAACTCTCTCAGAAAAAGAGCAGCTCCTTCCTTACCACTCAAAATGCATAGTCTCTTGTACTTGTATAGAAAGCTAACAGTTCACAGCAATTTTCCCTTCTGTTAGCTCAATTCCTCCTCATAGTAATCCTGTGAGATTTGGTAGGATAAGAATTAGTAGTTTAATTTTCTAGATACGGAGATAGACAAAACAAAGAAAAAAAAAAGAAAACTGACTTGCCTAGAGTAGGAAAACCAAGATCCCAATACTCATCTGCTTCCTTAACTCCATAGCTCGTCCAGTGCCTGTATCCTATACAGACCACCTCACCAAGGATCCAGAGTCTTGTTTGACCAAGAGCTTATATTACTTGAGTATTTACTGTGTTCCAGGCCCTGTGCTGGGTGCTTGTACTTAAATCTTCTCATTTGATTCCCACAACAGTACTGGAAAGTTATCCTCTTTTTCAGTATGTGAAAAATAAAGCCCGAAAGGATGGGAAGCCTGAGATTTTGCCTAAATCCATTGGCTCTCAGACTCATTATTTCCCCACATTGTCTCTCCTTGGATTATATCACTTACTGACTTTATGGCCCTGGGCAAGTTACTTCACCTCTCTTAAACCTAGCTTCTCTACAAGGCTGTTATGAGAGTAAGAAAGTGCATGGTAGGTGCTAGATAAGTGTTCTTTTTTCCTCTTCTACCTGCTTTGTTCCTACTTGTGGTTTTATTTTATCTTGGGATCTCTTGAGACTACTACCTTCTCCTTTTCCAACACTTGCCCCATAGTCCAGTGGCAGGACATGAGATAAGGGGCAAATTAACTGGTTTGAATGACTGGTGATTGACAGATGTACATCTGTTACAGATGATCAGTGCAGAAGCCCCTGTGCTTTTTGCCAAGGCAGCCCAGATTTTTATCACAGAGTTGACTCTTCGAGCCTGGATCCACACAGAGGATAACAAGCGTCGGACTCTACAGGTAATATTGTAGACCTACATTGGGAAAGCTGGGCAAGTAGCTAGCTGCCTGCTTCTCTTGCATGGCTTAGACCAGGGGTCCTCAAACTTTTTAAACAGGGGGCCAGTTCACTGTGCCTCAGACTGTTGGAGGGCCGGACTATAGTTTAAAAAAAAAACTATGAACAAATTCCTATGCACACTGCACATATCTTATTTTGAAGTAAAAAAACAAAACGGGAACAAATACAATATTTGTATTTGCATGTGGCCCGCGGGCCGTAGTTTGAGGACCCCTGGCTTAGCCCAAAGATTGTTTTTCCTTAGGCCTCTGACAAGCTGAGTGTAATTGTTATCTTCCTCTACTGTTGGGAGGCAGGCATACCTTATAGCCATGATAGTATTTCCCCACCAAGAATTTTAATTTCCAGCTCTCTCATGGTTTTCACAACTCAGTGACTGAACTGTTCACTTGGTGAGTCCTCACTATAAACAGAGGGAGGCTAAACTTATATTTATCTATTTCCAGATGTAAACAACTTCTGGTTAGAAGCCTTGAAAGGACAGTCCCAGGAAGAATCAGTTTTACTGACCTTGTTAGCCTCTTTTTCCTCATCTGCTTTCCTGAGAATCCTTTTGCTCTTCTTTTTTTGTTCTCTTTTTATTTTAATCCAGCAAACAAACATTCATATTGTATGAAGACCTCTTGGTCATTGGCTCTAGAACAGCGGTTCTCAACCTGTGGGTCGAGACCCCTTTGGCAGTAGAACGACCCTTTCACACGTGTCGCCTAAGACCATCCTGCATATCAGATATTTACATGACGATTCATAACAGTAGCAACATTACAGTTATGAAGTAGCAACAACAATAATTTTATGGTTGGGTCGCAACATGAGGAACTGTATTTAAAGGGCTAGAAGGTTGAGAACCACTGCTCTAGAGGCTCTCCCCTCAACCACCAGGGCCTACCTGTTGGAAGAAACATTTCTCAGACATAGAGTAAGGATGTGACAGATAGAAGAGAGTGACAGTATTTTAACAACAAAGCCAAGAGTGTAAATTATGTCTTCTTGTTTTCCTCTTACCTCAAAAGTTGAAGATGTATTTATTTATTTATTTATTTATTTATTTATTTATTTATTTATTTATTTTATTCTACAGGTATTTATTAATCACCCACAATGTGCCGAGCACTGTTCTAGGCTCTGGATACACAAAACAGATAACAACCGCCACCCCAGGGAAGTCTACATTCTAGTGCAGCTAGACATTGAGAACTTACTTTATGACTGCCTTGAAGGAAGTCTGTAGATCTAAAGAGCCAATTGAAATTACCTTCAAGATCAGTTAAGAAAACATAAGATAAAATTAAATGGGCAAAACATTTGAACAGGCCCTTCCAAAAAGAAGATTCCAAATGACTAGTAAGCATATGAAAAGGTGCATAGCATCATTTGTCATCTGGGAAATACAAAGTAAAACCACAGTGAGATGCTGGTTTATATCCACTAAATGACTAAAATCAAGATAGGAATATATAAAAAAATTGATGTATTCTTGAAATGAATTGCTGTTCAACAATAAAAGTAACAAACTTGATCCATACAGCAACATGGATGAATCACAAAAATATTATGTTAAGTAAAAGAAAGCAGAGAAAAGAATTACATAGCACATAGTGCCAGGTACTGTCCATAGTGATAGAAATAAGAGTTGTGGTTACCTCAGATTGGGGGGTTGTGGGGAGAGGGCATGGTAATTGGCCGGAAAGAGATGGAAGGGAATTTTATATTCTTATCTAGATGATGGCTACCTGTGTGTATATATTTATAAAAATCCAGCTGTGTACTTAAGATTTCTGTATCTTACTGAATATGAATAATAATTCAGTAAAATATTAGCACTTAAAAAGACAAAATTACAGTGTTAAAAAGACCGATTTAAGTATATCTGTTTTCAAAATACTGTAGAACACATTAGTGTTTGTTTGAAGGTGATTATTATTTCTTTCTCTTTCACCCTTCCTCTCATTTCATGCTTAGATGAGCCGTTTAGATAGCTTTGAGTAGGTGACATCATCAAGAATGTGATACTATATCGTGCTAATCTTAAATGAGTCCTGGCAGCTTTAAAATGTGCCCTGCTTCGGTAGGATGGGTTTATTATCAAGCTGATGGTTGGCAAGAATGGAGGACTGAAGTTTTGCATTTCAGTGGCTTTGGGCCATCACAGAGACAAGGGAAGGAAAAAACAGAAAATTTCCATCCCCTCCTATTTTGTCTGATGAGTCACCTTTTCTTAAGATGTGATATGTAGAGGTTGCTAAGGATTTTGGTTAGAAGGTTGACTTCTCCTTCACCCCAACATTTTATTATGAAAAAATTCACACATAAGCAAAGTTTATAGTGAACACCTGTATACTCACCACCTGGATCCTGCAATTAAAAGTTTACTTATTTTATCCCCATATCTATCCTTCTATCCATCAAATCATCATCTATTTTTAAATGAATTTCAAAGTTTACTTTTCCCTTAATACATGCATATCATTGTTCACTCTTTTCCCGTATTTTTCTTTAAAATTGTCTTATACTGTTAGTATGTTGATTTTTAGTAAAAAAATAAAAAATCCTTTAATTTTATTATTTAAAGAAAGAAGTGTTACTCTTAGAAATAACCCTTTCAGAGCAGGCTTTGGTTTCAGAATCATTAGTCAACCGACTCCTGTGTCCTTAGCCCACCTAAAACTCTGTTCTAGTAACTTCAGACTTGCAATATTTATATCACATTAAACAAGATTTAAACCATGGATTCAATTAATATTGCGATTTTGAATTCCAAAATAAAAATTTTGGAAACTAAGATACAGATCAGTAACTAGAAAATATTGCAAAAGTTATTGGATTAGCATTTCAGGCAGGAAATTCAAAATAGATTTTAACTGCTTCTGAACTAAGAGGCAAAATACTATTTAGAATCTTAAAAAGGTTATAAAATTGATTGATTGCCTAACCTTGCTAACCACATAATGACCAGAAACCTGCCACCTGAGATGGCTAGATTTGTACAATTTTAGCTGGAGGACCATTTTTTAAGTCATGGAGAGGACCTAGGGGCAGAATCTAGCAGAGACAGTAGTAGTTAGAGGCTCGAATATTCGGCTTGTGGAGCACGAGCTACAGGTAGGTTTTTTTGTTGACTTTGTAGATATCTTTCCAGCAGGTCTGATCATTTGAAGTTTATAAGAATTTGGCTGTGCTTATTTCAGCTATAGACTTGGCTATGGGTACTTACTTTGGCTTAGAAGTCATCATCATCTCTTACTTGCAACCTGGAGGTTATAAAGCTGGGTGAACTAGTTTCTCCCCAGGCTAATTTTTCACCTCGCTTTTCTTTGTTACAGAGGAATGATATCGCCATGGCAATTACAAAATTTGATCAGTTTGACTTTCTCATCGATATTGTTCCAAGAGATGAATTGAAACCTCCAAAGCGTCAGGTGAGCTGGGAAGGCATTGCTGCTGCTGCTGCTGCTGCCGCCAGGCACCTTGCATATGGGTGTCTAATAATGCTCCTTTTCCTCTCTCAGCACAAGCCATTTGCTATTTCTTTTTCTACTTCTCTAGACCAGATCCATCCTTAACATCTCCTTCTGCTACTCATTTATGGATACTTTTAACTCAGTGTCGCTGAGGTGGTATTTCAGTGAAAATAGATAAAATTAAAGACTTTGGTTATAAATAGTAAAAGTGAAGCTCATTTCAAGGTATCCTAGGAACTCTATCAGAGTTCTTAATCTGGGATGGGAGAACATGTCCAGTGAGTTACAGATTTTAGATTTTCAAGAAACAGCGTCTCTATGTGCACAGTGTTTGGAGTGAGTGGACTTTGGTTTTCTCTTACTCTTTATTGTGGTTCTCTATATAATGCTCTGGTTACATATTAAATCACCTGCTAGGGTTTTAAAAATACCAATGCCCAGGCTCCACCCCACACCAAGTTGAATCAGACTCTGAGAGGGGAGGCCCAGGCATCAGTACTTTTTAAAGCTCCCCAGATGCTTTTAATGTGCAACCAGATTTGAGAACCACCACTAAACTGTTTTTTAAGCAATCACTAGAAAGAATGTGAATGTCTGCCTGCCTGCCTTTCCCTCTCTTCTACCTGCCCCTCTCCAAAGGTCACACCAATTTTTTTTCCCAGCACCTTGGGTGCATAAGTCTCTTAATTGCGGTTTTAATAGGCCCCTATGCTTTGTAACTCATTGGTTCAGGCACACACATTTCGTGACTCACCAGGTGTAATTGAGACACTTGGGGAATAGTACCAGAGTCTGGTGGGAGCAAAGGTGTGCCTTGTTCTGCTTGCTCTGTTTTCTTAACAAAATTTTAAGTGGTTTTAATGAATTATTTCATAGTATATTATTTTTGGAAATGGGTCATTCAGTGACTCTCATGCTGTCTCTATTAATAACCAGTCAGAAGGTGTAAGAGAAGTGGGCGTCTTAAAGGACATTTGTAATCCTGACCCTGCCTGGAGCCTTTGGGTTAGCAAGCCCTCTGTTACCCCCTTACTAGTACAGGGAGCCTCACTGTGTCTCCGTTCTTTCTGGGCAGTCTTTGCTACTGTAAACATCCTTGACTGGAAGCTGTAAGGTGTTCAGAGGAGCTTTCAGTCGGATGTTTACAGCGGCAGGCTGCCACGGTCGTCCCTGGCTGCGCATCGCCTTTGAGACGTTGCAGGTTAGTGCCCGTGGGCTTCCTTCCTCTCTGAGAAGTCACTACTGCAGAAACCCAGACCACCTCTCTTCCTTCAAAAAAAATGATAAGACACACATGCTCTCCGTGTTGGAATGTGTTTGAGCAGCCCCCTTTAAAAACGAAGTGGTGCGATCTGTCAGAAAATCAGGCCTTGGTCATGCTCCTTGTGCTAACTTCTGCTTGTTTTCCGTGGGCTGCCTGCTGAATCAACCGGCTGGAGAGAAGGGTCATGTCCTGTCCCTTCCTCCAGAGTCCTCAGTGCCTGGCTCTCTTAGGGTGTCAGACAGCTCCTTGTTCCATCTTGACTCTAAATGCTGTGATCCATCTCTTTTTTAAAGTGTGTCTAGCTGAAACAGCTCCTTGCTGTCTAGACTCAGTTCTTTGTAGGTGTTCAAGCCATTGATTGGCATCCTGTTTGGGACAGCTACTGCCTGGCCTTTGAAAGGTTGAGATTACTGGAAGCTGGCCTGAAATTCTCAGGTAGCACTATTAATCCTCTGTAGACATGAAGTTTTCCCAATCTCCAAATTGGCTGACACCTTTTTAAGTCCTGTAAAAGCACCTACTCTCCAGAATTCACCCTTTCTGAAGAGGCAGCAGTTTGCTCTTGCTACTGAAGCTAATGGACTTTTTTCCAGTCTGTGGCTGGTAGTCCTAGGACGATGCTGCTCATTCTCTGGCTGTTAGTCTCCACTTCTGAACACATCCCAAGAGTAAACCCTCTGTTTGGGGAGGCCACAGCTAGAGCTGGGAAAGTACCCCATTCTGGATTGACCCAGTCATTCATTCCGAGATTGCTAGCATCTGGGATGATGTTCCACTACTGGGGAAAAGAACTAGCCACAAATATTGAGCTGGGATCTAAGGTCCTTGACCTCTCAGAGATGCTTGGGAATTTATCTTGTTCTTCAGGAAAGCAAATAAAAACTGTTTGAAAGTAGAGGTTGTTGAGGTTTGACTTGTACCCCACTAAAGCTATGAGTTGAAAGTTCCTGCCCATTGAAATATCATTTCTCTTCACCCATCTCTTTAAACCAAGCATAATCATTCCCCTGCTAGCTTGACCTCCATTGGCTGAATGAGTCTTCATAAATGCTGAAAACCTTATATATGCCTCCTTCCATTCCAGTGAATTGAGAACAGTCATGCCCTCCTCACAGCGCAAACTGACTTGATGGAATGTCCTAGACCCTGCCTGGTTCATTAACAAGTTAGGAGGCTACAGCAGGCAGCACAAGAGAAGCTCTTCACCTGCTCTCCCAGCTTTTGGCAAGGGGTTTGCTTTTTGTCTGGTGAAAAGACCATATTCATTTGTAGATCAGCCACAGTCAGGGATAACTGGATACAGAACCATCACAGGTCAGGGCTAGGAAATGCCAGTGTCTGCCTGCCTTCTCACTTCCTGCAGGTTTGTTTGGGGGGGCTTTTGGTCCTGTATACCTTCTTATCACCCAAGAGCTTTTTCAAGTTAGGTCTGAACTTTAGTGATTAATGTTTTTTATAAAGTAGGAAGGGAAATCTCAATGGAAAATGAATACATTGAACTCATTTCAAGAGCTTTGAAAAAGATCAGTTTCATGGCTAAGGAGGATATCAGTTTATCCCTGCCACAGCCAAGGTCTAGTTGACAAGACTGACCTTAATTTATAATAGAAGTTGGAGTTGAAATGGAGGTGACATTGTCACAGTTAAGTTGTTCTGGAAACAGACCTAGCTGAAAATAAAAGGGGGTCCCTTCTTTCTTCTGCCTCAGAATGATCACATTCAGTGTTCAGATGGTTTGGGCCTGAAGCACAGAATACATTAACCTAAAAAGTTGGTTCATGTTCGAGGACTAGCTCAGAAACCCAGCATGTCACAAGTGTCTGCCTAGGCTGAGTGGATGGCCATCAGGGAATCTGGTCATGCAGAGACCCGCGTGTCTCATAGGCTTTATATCAGCAGTCCTAGTTTTACTATCCTGGGCCCCCCAGTCACCAGGCAAGCAAAATAATGCCCAGCCCTGTTCTACAGGGAACATGGATTTCTCCCCACATTAGACTACAAAATCCTAGAGGTAGCAAAGAGAGTTTAGGGTCTCTTCTATTGGTAACAGCTGTTATATTCAAGAAAATTATTCTACTACCAACTTGGGTTAAAAAAAAAGGTACCGCAATACCTCAGAGATATTGTGGGTTCAGTTCAAGACCACAATAAAGCAAGTACAGGCATCTCGGAGCTGCTGCTGGTTTGTTACAGACCACTATAATAAGCAAGTTTATCAATAAAGTGAGTTGTAACCTTTTTTGCTGATGGAGGGTCTTGCCTTCAGTTTGTAAAAAAAAAAATTAAAAAAAAATCAACACCTGGGAAGTGCAATAAAGCCAAGTGCAATAATACATGGTGTGCCTGTATTTTCTTATCTCTGTCTGCCTGGCTCTATAAATCCATTCTCATTCAGCAAGTGCTTATTAGGTGCCTACAAGGGAATGATATTAGGTGCCTACAAGGGAATGAATAGTGGGGACAGTGGAGAGCAAGAGAGAGCTAGGCTTTGCCCTCATGGGAAAGTAGTTAATTTGACAAGCAAGGACTGGAAACCCAGACTAGAGCGCCTGACCTAATGAGGGGATGATGGGGTCAATGCCAACTATGTAAGTGTCACTTTGGGGAGCTTTGAGGCAGTCCACTGGGTCTCTATACCTTGAAGAATTGTCTTTTCCTCTTATCTTGAACATGGCAAACTTAGCCTAGAACAAGGGAGTGAGTAAATCTAGTTAATTTTTTGCTCAGCCAGCCCAAGTTGTATGTTTCTGTTGTTTTTGTTGTCCCAGGCAGGGGCACCGTGTCCGTGTGCCACAGGGTCCTCTGGAGCAGATGCCGATCTCTGTCAATGGTCAGGGGCTGACCAACCCTGGACCCTCAGGCTATAACCATGCCGTAGTGTGTGTAAACATCCTACACTCTCAGCTGTGAGCTCAAGGTGGCTGGGAGAGGGTTGTTTACTCCTTCTGCCATGGAAAACGTCAGCTGAAGAAGGAACAGTCTCTTCACCCAGCAGATCGGACAGAATGCGACCTCCCTAGTCAGCCAAGGCAGCACCCAGCGGAGAGCTGTCCCTCAGGCCCCCTGGGTTGCTCTTCTGTGGCTAAGTACAACCAGAAGCAGATGTGACACTGGATAGATGTGGCCCTCAGTGACCACTGAGCTCTCAACATACTGTGCAAAGCTAAGCGCTTCCCTAACATTTGATTCTGAAATTTCAACCCAGGAAAAGCCCTATGTCCTTTCCCCCTGCTCTGTCCCTCCTGAGATGGTGGGAACAAAATAAGGAGAGTGCTGCCTGTTTGGGAGATTGGGAACCGGCCCGAGAGCCTGACGTTTGGGTAGCATCTTCCAGTGCTCACAATTAGCACTGTCCTCAGATCACAGGCCTCGACAGCATTTACTCACAAGCACTGCTAGTGCGTGGCTTTTAGTGGCAGTATTTGCCCATTTGCAACTTACCATGCAATGGTTGCTAACTCTACTTCAGAAAACTGTAAGTTTGGTGAAACCTATGGAATCTGTTATTTTTAGTTTGATGTAGCACAACTGGTCTCTTCGAATTCCAGTTTCCCTTGGCTTCAAATGTGGAGAGCTCAGCATTCAGCAGGCAACGGCACAGAGCCCGTTTGGGGGAAGAATGGAAATTCACTCTGGCGGCTGCTGAGTCGGTTCTTTTCCTCTTACCTGCCTCTCCTTCTCCCCACAGGAGGAGGTGCGCCAGTCTGTGACTCCTGCCGAGCCTGTCCAGTACTACTTCACGCTGGCTCAGCAGCCCACCGCCGTCCAAGTCCAGGGTCAGCAGCAAGGCCAGCAGACCACCAGCTCCACAACCACCATCCAGCCCGGGCAGATCATCATTGCGCAGCCTCAGCAGGGTCAGGTCTGTGAGCTGCAGGGGGTGCCTGCCCAGCAAGATAGTACTTCTTAGGTTTGGGATGGTGAAAGCTTGACCAGGGCAAGACAGGTACTCAGAGCATCATAGAGCACTGGATTTGAAGTCTGGAAACCTGGGCTCTCCCCAGACTCAGCCATTGAGGTGACATGTCACCCTAATCTCTTATGGGTCATTGTGGAAAGTGTAGTAGACAAGATGTTCTTCAGGATCCTTATGAGCTAAAAAGTTTTGGAAGGAAAAACTGTACGACACCCCCATGAAGAGTAGTGGCATCTCTGTAGAAGGTGTTTTAAGTGGACTCCATGCCTGCTGTCTGTGTGTCCACACCAGAATTGGATTGTACCCTTCAGGGAGAGATCAGGCATGCATACCTCTCCTCCCCTTCTCCCCATCATTTCTCTGACCTACTGTATTTAAGCAAAGTGTCCTTCTCTTTTTACAACAGTAATCAGAATATTCTCTCTCTCCCCAATACAATTGTGAGAGCAGTATTATGCACATTTGTTGGGAATCATTAGAGGCTACAGAGAACTCTGTTCTCTGAGTTCTGAATGCAAACTCCCTGACAGTCATCAGTTTATTTATTCATCAGACATTGGTCATCCTCTGTAGATAAAGTCCTATGCCATTGGTTGGGGACACAAGCATGAGTCAAACAGTCCCTATATAATATGAGTTTTAGAGAGAATAATGGAAATGAATCAAAATAGACAAGGAGGGACTTCCCGGTACAGGGCTCAGCACAAGCAAAGGCTTGGAGTTGAGAAATAGCACAAGGCAGTGGGGAAAGGCTGTAGCACAGGGAACATCTAGCAATTGTGAAAAGACAGGTGGAGGACACATTCTAGACAGCCTTGTGTGTTCTAGTGAGGAGCTGGGTTTGCCTAGAAGAAAAAAAATGGAAGTGGCAGTAGATTTAAATATAATTGTGATTTTAGGACGTATTCCCTGCTTGGTTTTTTTATCCATATAACAAATTTATTGAATGCTTGTCTTTACCGGACACCATGCTAGCAGGAGGGGTTCAAAAATGATTGGAGCTCAATCCCTGCCTTAAGGAGTTCACTGCACTGTGATGCCTAAGGGACCTTCTATAGCTCTTGCTTGTGCGTCTGCAGTGATGAGAGGTTTGCCTGCCAAAGGCTTTATCCCTTTATAGAGAGAACTTCAAGGGAGTCTGCTAATGGCGGCTCTTATTGGCTGATCATCCTAAGAAGCTCATAGTTGTTGTGCCCCGACAGCAGGGCGCACCATACGTGATTTGACAGCTGCTATGCTAACACAAGCCCTCATTTTTCTGAAATGATTTAGAAATACTTTGGAAATCCTCTCAGGAAAATTGAGTTGATAGAGTACAGTGATGAGTTGGCAGTATGCATTTTTTTTTAGTCAGCGAGAATTTCATGTATCCTCTTTTCTGCCACCCTGGACTTGCTCAGCCTGGAGCTGATAAGGCTTGTGAGGATGGTGAAGTTGGTTCCTCCCAGCATCTTCCAGCTATTGTTTCACTGTGTTACTGGTTCAGGGTGGCCTTGTGTTGTGTGACATACCCCAGGACCTCTGTAGTAATGGCTATTTCAGATTGAGCGCAGATAACCTTTGCAGAACAAAATATATACTAAAGTCGAAGGAAGGCATATTTTGGTAAAGTGAATCCTCTATTTTCTGTCATAAAATTGGAAATTTTTATTCCTGGAGGCTTGGGGAATAGGCTGAGTTGAAAATTGCAGTTTGAGAACAGGAGATGTTTCCTGTTGCCCTAGCCAACTGCATGCATTTTTACACAGGTCCTTCTGTCTGTCTTCCCCACCCTCCTGTTACTTAGGGGTGGCCTCAGTTAAGATCCAGGCATTCAGCCGAAACCGGTTTGGCTCAGTGGATAGAGCGTCGGCCTGCGGACTGAAAGGTCCCGGGTTCGATTCCGGTCAAGGGCACATACCTTGGTTGCGGGCACATCCCTAGTGGGGAGTGTGCAGGAAGCAGCTGGTTCAGTGTTTGGTGTCCAGTGCATTTACCTGTTCACTCTCCCATAGGCAGCTGAGCTATGATCCAGAGCAGCCAGTTGGCCGCTGCGGGCTGGGGTCGCTTTGCTGCTTAAATGGGGTGAAAACCAGTGTGCACTTTATTTCCCTCCCAATGTCTTGCAGGCCTAAGAAGCAGCCCAGGATCCCAAATTTAGTAAATTCATAATTCATACTGACCTCACTTTCCATTTAGTTTGTCCCCCAAATTCACTTGTTCTAGACTCGACTTGGCTATTTCTCAAGTGAACTGTCGTGGTTGATTTTGATTCTTTTGTACCATATGTGCCCTACTGTCATCGAAGTGGCTGTGAAAAGTTGCAGCATTTGAAGCATAGAGACGTTTGGGGCTCAGGCAAATATTTTGTACTATGAGCCTAAAAATAAATCTCTGGTTTTTTTCATCTTTTATTTTGGTGAGTAACTTTCACAGTGCTCTAAACCCAAAGGACTCTAGGTTGAGTATTATTTGGTGTTAACATGACTTCAGGCATT